AAGAAACCACATACGTTATAATTTTCAAGAAAGGCTCCAGTATGTGCAAGAAGTGCTGCTCTGGACAGCACTGGAAGAACTTAACCAGTTTCTGTATGGCATCCTTTTTCAACAAAGCTTGCTCTACTTTTTTGTTCTCATTGTCATGTGCCAAGCACACAGCTATTGAATCTAACGCCGTCCCGGACCAAAACTCATCTTCAAGAAGGCTCAGGTACACATCCAGACCTCCATGAGCCCTTAATTGCTCCCTTGAATTACGTGATGCATGGGCCATATCACATAGCAGAGGTAGTGCATATTGTTTTAATGGAGAATCTGACATGATAAATTGCATCAAGTGTGGAATAATTCCATTTTCTGCTGCTTGTTCCTGTCTCCGCTTGTTAATCTTGCACAAATTGAATAGTGCATGGAGAACCTGTAACAATGAATTTAGTGAGACAATATTCAATGATGTGGATGCTCGAAGGATGTAAGAGGTATACTATTAGATAACGTGTGATATTATCGTTGCTCGGTTCATTGAAAATTGATTTTTTCTTCTTTTTTTTCTCAACACCTCACCTCATGATGTATTTGGGATACGAGGGCACCCTCTTTGAGATCGAGGTTAGGGATCAAATACTTTATTGCATCCGCTCGTTGAAGATTTTCTAAGCAATGAGGATCAGTGGACAGATGATGAAGACACTTCAACAACTACGAGACAATAAATTAGTAACGGTGATCAGACCACAACAAAACTCAGACACAATGTTCAACATATAATCTCTTGCATTACCTTTAAAAGAATTGGAGGCTCTATCTTATTGAACATCTGGAAAAGACGAGTAAGTAAACTTTGGCTACACATGTAAGATTTTACAGTTGTGTCAGCTGCAGCAAACTCAAGTAGAAGGTCTGCCAACTTTTCCAAATATTCCCGAGCAACATCAACATTCCAAGATGATACCATGTGGGAAAGTAACCCAGATGAAGTTGCACTTCCTGGCCTAGCATTTAAAACTCCAGAACCAGACAGCACACCTGATGCAGTCTGAGATGCAAGTCCAGATGTGGAAGCAATTCCTCCATTAGATGTCAGGGATCCTAACTTCATGTTTGTTGTTTTCGGTGAAGTTCTAGGTAATGAGTCCATATTAGAGTTTTCCCTCCCTCGTCCAGATACCTCTGGACAAAAATTAAAAGTATCAGGATTATATTGTTGACTAACTTGGATGCAAAGAGAAGTTTATGCTGCAACTAAAGCCAATTCAATTGCAAGCAGCAGAGAAAATTGTATCCAAGGATCAATGCCAAAACTCTGGCTTAATTCATTATGGGAAATGGCTCTCTTTACTAGGTTGATATGTTTCCAAGGGGTGGTTCAATGCAGACGCAATAATGAAAATTAGGCAGACCAAATACCTGCAAATTCAGCCATCAAAAAGTCCAGCCCATTTGTTTTCTTGTCACCTGATGCATGTAAAAGTGGTAGTATAGTTTCAGGTTTCTCCAACCCAGTAAGATGACGTACATACTCAAGCTGACCAGAGAAATGGCGCGATGGAGGTTCCTTATCCAACAAACTGAGAAGGGGTCGAACATTTTCTTGCTGAGTAGCAGAAGAAAATCCATTTGATGCCCCTTCCACAAATTTAGGGGGCCTATCTGACGATGCTATACTTCCTGCATTTGAACCTCTTTGCTGTTTCAGTTCAACATCAGCTCGAGACTCTCTCTTTGATGCAGCATTGGTTCCTTTGTCCAAACCTGCAGGATCCAGTAATTTTGAAGTACCAGAAGCCTCCACATTAACCATACTTGACTGAGGTCTATCAGCATCTGGAGCAAAGAATCGTGAATCAGGAGAATGTGAGACTGATGTTTGTGAAGGTTCTTGCACCCCTGGTAGTGATACATGGTCTCCTTGTTTTATTTTAAGATGATCGGGCTGGTCAATTCCATAAAATGGTGTATCTGTCTGCACAAAGGAGGGGCTGCTGGAATCAAGAGGACCAGATCGTGGTCGTGGTGCTAGACCATCTGCAGGAAACCCAGATCCACTAGCTATGGAAGCCAGACGAGTTGCCTCATTCAAGCTATAAAGAGTATTGATAAGTCTAAGTAATATCCCATTCTTGGCAGCAATACGACAAAAGTCATTTCTGGAGGTGGACCTCTGAAGCTTGAAAATCTGCCACATGCCATCAATAGCAATGTGAACCATTTCCCTAGATTAAGGAATAAAGTAAATTAGTCAATGCATTTACAAAAGAACGTAAACGGGTTTGCTTGCCAGTCGTTGATAAAACATATACGGTAAAAAAAA